TATTTATTATTCATATCCAACTCCTAAACTCCTAGTGGGGATTCACTTAAAAAATATACCTTACTCTTATCATATGGGAGGATTGCAATATAGGCAAGCAAACAAAGTTTTTCATAGAAATTTTATAGAGTAAATTTTTTGGTGTTTATAAGTATGCTATTTATTTATTCATTTCTCTTACTTTGAACTCTTGTTTTGGAAATAACAAAAGCATTTTTATCAATAGTGACTGTGCTTTTTATATTCCTGAACGGATAGAAAAGACAAGAAGTGTAATATAAAGAGCTACCAAGTTCTAAGAAGAATAATAACAAATGCGAGGAAGATCAAGAAGCAGCGTTGCTGTCCCAGTCCAGTATAGAATCGCAGCTAAGGCCTTTGGAGTACCTACAATGTTTGTCAGTGTATAGTTATGATGCTATATACTAATATTAGCATAGTGGGATCACGACCCCCATGCCCTCCTACTCATCGGGGCCTCGCAATCGCCGCGATGGCCGGGCATAGGCCGCACGCTTAAGCGCCATCCATTTTCGGGGCTAGTTGATTCAGCAGGTGAGTTGTTACACATGGAGGTATTTAGGCATTATCTTCATGAGTTTGTGGAGATTTTTTTGGACAATTTTTAGTAAGAATATGGAAGAGCATAAGGTGCATTTGCACAAGGTTCTTTTGTTACTCCGAAACAACAAACTTTATGCAAAGAAGAGCAAATGTGAGTTTGCAAAGTCGGAGGTGGAATATCTAGGCCATATTGTGACATCTAAAGGTGTCAGGACAGATCCAAGGAAGGTGGCTGTGGTGGAAAACTAACCTACACCAACTACAGTAGCTGAGTTGCGTAGTTTTCTTGGTATAGTTAGTTATTATCGATGTTTCCAGCATAAGTTTACAGAGGTGGCTATTCTTTTGACGCGGTTGTTACGCAAGAATGTGCCATTCGATGGAAGAACCCACAAGAGGAGAGTTTTGTGGTGTTGAAATGATTGTTGAGCAAGACTCCAGTGCTTCATATTGCTAATCCATCGAAACCTTACGAGATGATATGCGATGTGAGTGGTTATGCACTGGGAGGAGTTTTCATGCAAGAGGGACAACCTATTTCATATGAGAGTCAAACTTTGAATTTCGCGGAGCAATGTTATTCCACATATGAATAAGAGTTACTCTCTATTATTCATGCTTTGCGGACGTGGTGGCACTATCTTTATGGTGCAGTGTTCGTGGTGTTGACAGATCACAAACCACTTGTGTATCTTTTCACACAGAAGGAGTTGAACACTAGGCAAGCTTGTTAGATGGTCAAACTCATGAAGTTTGGGGAGTTCCTATTGAGCATCGTCCGGGAAAATCAAATGTGGTGGCAAATGCTTTATCTCATGTTTGTCATGTGACAACGTTATAAACACGATTTTGTCATCATTTGAGTAAGGTGGTCAGCAAGTTTGGGCAGTTGGTTGAGCATGCTCAAGCTTAGGATGCTGAAGTGGCTTCTTTGCGAGACTAGATGGAAGCCCCTTTCTCATTAGTGGATGGGATTCTCTACTATAATGACCGTGTATATTTGCCACGGGTGGATGCATTAATTACTCAAATTTTATTCCACTATCATGATCGTCCAGAGGCCAGTCATTTTAGGGGGAAGAAGTCGTATAACTTGAATAAGTGCAATTTTTATTGGCGGAATATGAAGGCTGATATCCTTAAATATTGTAAATAAGTGCCATGAGAGAAACCAGGGGGACTTTTGCAACCCTTACCTATTCCTCAGAGCCATTGGTGTAGTATCTCTATAGATTTCATCACTTGTTTGCCACAAACATAAAGGCAAAAGGAGCAAATATGGGTTATAGTGGATTGGTTGATGAAGTATGTGTGGTTGTTGGCTCTTTGGAAGACTGTCACTGCCTCAGACTTAGCTGCAGTTTACTTGGAGAAGGTTTTTCTTGATTTTGGTTTACCAGAGGACATCATTAGTGATCGAGATTCAAAGTTCACCAGTGCATTTTGGAAAAATTTTGCAAAGGCTATGCAAGTGACTTTGAAACTCTCGAGTGGAAATCATCTTCAGATAGATGGGCAAACTAAGCGTGTGAATCAAGTGGTGGAGGATATGCTACATTGTAGCATTGGTCAAAGGCAAGGACAGTGGGATCTATATTTTCCATTGGTGCAATTTGTTTATAACAATAGCCAACACAGTAGAACCAAACTAAATCCTTACTTTGCCATGTTTGGAAGGCATCCCTGAACAGTGGTGGAGTTGGGATTGCATTTGAGTAAGGACGTTCAAGATAAGCTTGATTCCAAAGTGATTGATCTGCCCACAGAACTTGATGAGATTCTGGTGGTGTGCAAACGGATTTTGCAAGCAGCTCAGGATAGAGTAGAGAAGTATGCCAATAAGCATTGCCAATTTCGGGAATATAAAGTGGGTGATCTCGTTTTTGTGCAAGTGATCTTTCCGTTAAGTGAGCGGCAGAACACCTTGGTGCCTTTACAGACAGGGAAGAGTGATAAACTTTCCCATTGATATGCTAGTCCATATGAAGTGCTGGAGCACATTGGTAAAGTGGCTTATCGGGTGTGGCTACCAGCTTGAGTGAAAATTCATCTGGTATTTTATGTCAGCCAGTTGAAAGGTGTATTATCTTGGAGTGATGGGTCCAATGCCTCCTTAATGTATATGGCTATGGAAGATGGACTAGGAGCTTGAGCAAGGTTCGCCAAAAAGGGTGATCACTGGTACAATTCATCCTTGGGACAAAGACTTTGTTGGGAGGGAAGAATTGTTAGTTGCCAGCTTTGACCACATGGTCAACGTCAGTCAAAAGGAGGCTCAAGGGTATATTAAGGCATGTTAGGGTAAGGGACTCAACCCTACCCTAGGGTTCAGTCTAGGGCAATTAAATCTCAGTCTTTTTGCATCAGATCATAACACTTAGGGATATAAGAAACACCCTTCTAATATCCCTCTAACGCCACTAAATCCCATTCCATCCACAGTAGTGCTCGTCAACACTGCCACTAAGTTAAGGCCGAAAAGCCCGACTACTAAATCTCATTGACCTTTAGGACTTCCTCACCACATGACCATGCTTGGTCACTATATAAAAGGATTATTCCTCTTTTCCACTTTGGGATGACATTTTAAAACACCATGGCCTTTAGCAAGCCTTGTAGGTATTCTCCCCACCTTCCACCTTTGGGTGCCCTAGCCATGTGGCTAGAGCAAGGTTCCGATGAGCCATGTCAGATATCCAAATAAGTAATGCCACCCACATTTGGATTGGGAGCATTAACCATTTTGATTTTATGGGGGAGTTAGAGTTAGCTTTTGAACACTTTGCCAAATTACCCCGCTTGTCTGTCCATATTCACTTTAGCCTTGGACTCTTCAGTAGTTATATCATCACCCAACATATGGGTATAGCCTCATTGGCTCACATTAACTTTTCTTAGCCAAATTAGTCCCACTAAAGTCCAACCCCCACACTCTCCTTACTATACTTTTAGAACTAACACCCCCCCAAGGGGAAAAATTGCTTTGGGCTTTCACTCTTTGACTTGTATTAATATTCAGACTTGGACTCAATTTTAGTTTTGGCCTTAACCTTGATTTAGTACCCAATCTTGGTTTCCATCTCAAGTCCATCTCAGACTCGACTTTGGACTTGACTTTAGACTCCATTTCGAGTCTATCTCAAACTCAATCTCAAATCCATCTTAGACTCCATCTCGAGTTCATCTTAAACTCCATCTCAAGTCCATCTAAGATTCGATCTTAGGTCCATCTAAGATTCGATCTTAGATCCATATTAGGTTCATTTTGAACTTACCTTGGACTCTTTCTCTGACTCGTTCTCTAACTCCATCTTAAACTTCTTCTCGGAGTCAATCTTGACACTTCTATGTGTTATGACATTTGCTATGTGTCAGTCCCTTTTATATCCTTTTCTAGATATTTGTTCACCAATCATTTTGTACTTTGAGCACTTCTTTAAGAGTTCCACTCCCACTCTCGACTTTCTGAAACGGAACTTTTGGTCCAAATGTGTTATGCTTATTGGACTTTTGTTTTAACCCTGAACTTTTACTTTAACCATTGCAATATGGCACCCTTTCAACTCCACTTTGGGGCTTAGGGATTTATATCTTATAAATTCTTTCAAAAACCTCTTATAGATTATGTCATTTTTCAAATGATTTTATATATGCACTAAAGAGAGATGTAATTATGATTAGCTAACTTTTACATCTTTGAATGGAAAAGTTAGATCATATACGAGTGCCATGATGTCCTAAAAACAATTAAAATCTTTAAAATTCACTAAAAGCTATAAATATATTTTCAAACTTATATTTCTTGATCTCTTTCTCTCTTGCTCTAAGATATATTTGTGAAAGACCTAGCTCAATCTTATATAACATTTTCTATGAAATTTCATATGAAATTATTTCTTCAGCATTATACTCTTGTTTTCAAAACCTCTGTAAGAAAATGAAATGTTAAACCTTTCTATTCAAGATATATGAAACTTCAGATTCAGGTTATTTCTTCAACATTATACTCTTGTTTTTGGAATCATTTAAAAAAGAAATATAAAACCTCTCATTTTCAAAGACAATCTTCAATAGAACAGAAATATTTTTTCTGCCTTGCCTGACAACACATCTTCACTCCAGTCCAATTCAAAGTCAACATAACAAGCGTAGTTAAATTCTAACTTGAGGACCTCCATATTACATGTAGTTTCTGTGTAAGCCGGATGGAAGCATCACAACGTATTTGTGTCAAGGATAGGTAGCTGGACCAAACTTATTTCTTCACATCATAAAATCTATGTCTAGGAATAACTAGAAAAATCTTTGTGTATTCGAATTCCAAAGTAATCTCGAAAGAATACGAGCTACCAGGAAGGCGCGAAGAAGCCCCAAATGAATCTTCTCGTGATAGCTGAAATTATATATGGTGTGCCAGGAAAGCGTAAGTACCAGCCATGGCTGCCCGGATTCCATGGTACGTGTGGCTGGTGCTGGTCTGTGCGGTTGTGGCTGTATCATCCGCCGGGGCAGTGAGTTTTCTAATCAGTCAATTCACTGAAAACTTTTCTCTTGATCACACGATGTTTCTATCTAGGTGACCAAACTGATGAAGCGCGCCGCCCCAATCTCCAATGCAGCATGGAGATTGCAAGTCACGGCAATGATCCTTCTGCCTGGATTCATTTGGGACTGGTGCCGCCTCTCTCCCCAGAAGCGATGTATGTTCTTCACATGGCGACCTCTTTGCGTGCTTGGAATCAGTGCTCTTGCAATAGCCTTGCACTTCGCCCTATGGGTATAGAATTGTATTGCTTAGATCGAGAAGGGGGTTCACGCTTACAATTCGATATCCAGGTATGGTCACTGGATCACACATCCCTTCCACATAGCCTCCTCTTTGTTTCGATGCCTCCGCTCATCATCGCTGTTCTATCCTGGCTGCGCTGTAAGCCCCTGAGCAAAGGAGAGAACGCCGGGGTGTTCTTGGGTTTTGCTGGGGTTTTGATCATCGCATTTGCTAGCAAGTCCGATGGTGACAAAGGCATCACTTTCCTGGGGGATTTGATGGCTTTCCTGGCGGCTGTTGCGTTTGTAGCCTACATGTTTGCTGGGAACAATCTGAGAAGTGAAGCTCTAGACTTATCTTTCTCTTTTTCTTTGCAAACTTGGATGATCTTTGCAAGTATTGGATTTCATTCTTTCGGTGGGTCTTGTTTGTCATTTTACCAGGTTGGATGCCGCTCTATCTCTATGCCTTCCCTGTAACGGGTGGAGGAGCTCTCATTCTGGGCATCGCTTGTGAGTTTATGGAGAACTACCATTCCAGATCGTGGAAGATTGGTGGACCTTTTGCATGGACGAGGCGAGGTTTGGAGAACAGTTCTCCAATCAAAAGATATAGTTGCTTATGAGTTATTTGCAGGTTTCTGGGCTCCAACGCTTTTTTTGGCAATCGGCCCTGGTCTAATCGGTCACACGGGTTTGAATTATGTTGTCAAGTACACGGGGCCTTTGATCATTTCCATGGCTGTCACGCTGGAACCTGTGATTGGATCTCTCATCGGCTGGGGGATTCACGTCTCCTCAGCTCCCGGGTATAAGCACAATCCAAAGTTCTTTTAATTCACACTGGTATGTGTCTTAACAGTGTGTTTACTTGCGTTGGAGGAGCGCTTCTGATATTTGGGACCCTGGTGGTGAATTACGCCAATGGAAGAGCTACTAAGAAGAAGTTAGAAGCAGAACAAGCCAGACAGGTGTGGAACATCAGAATTCATGAATGCTTACTGTTGGTCTTGTGCAGCAGCAAGAACTGCCTCAAAACGACTCTAGTATTGACGCAAGTCCAGCTCCAGCTTCACAACATCAATCTCACCAAGCTCCACAACATGAACAGGAGCTTGCAAATGTCTAAACAGTCCATAACACTCACCGAATTAACCGAAGGTCACAGAACTTTTCTCAAATAGCTGCTTTAATCAACATCTGAATTTTCACCAGG